TCTTCTTTCTCCCTTCCGTAGTGGGTGTCTGTCCATGCCCTATCTTTGCCTCAAGGTCTAGGGCTACCTTGCTGAACGAAGGAAAGTTGTGCATATTGATGTTGGCCTCTTTTGCCAACTGGTTCCTGAGAGGCTGAGATAAGCACCTCAAGTACGAAGTTAACAGGACCTGGGGGTCATAGCGTACCCCTGGAACACAAATCAAACGCTCTACAGCGTCGGTGGCATCCCTTACTGACTTAAACTACCGCGTGTGCAGTGTCGGGATCGCATCAGTGACCTTTTGAGCCTCCTGAGGATCATGCCACCTCTCTTCCACCATTTTCAGGAAGTCCTCCAATTTATGAGAGGCTGCCCAAGAGCGGAAGTCATGATCGTACCCCTGGAGTTGCACTAACCCACTCAACCATCTTGCTGCACTACCCTCTAGGTAGGAAGCAGCCACAAGCACTTCTTCGTGTGGCAAGGTGAGTTTACACCTGACGTAGACCGACACTGCCCTCAACCAAGTGTCGAGGTCTTTGCCTCTCTTGTCCCCTATAAAAGATTTGGGAGCGGCGATGGCCGTCTTTGGAACCCACTGATTTTGTCCCGGTCCCTGCACCACCCCGGGCTGTGGGCCTAGTGATACAGGTTGTTGTGCTAACTGCTGGGGCTCTGTGCCCTGCGGCTGCGCAGGTTGCGAGACAGCAGGCTGCGTGGTGACCGCAACCTGCAACGGACTCTGAGTGAACACTGTCTGAACAGGAACCTGTAAACTACTCCCTGCTGTTACCCCTCCTGACAGAGGCATGCCCAGGGAAACGATAGCAACCGATGAAGGGGCTACATATGGGGATACCCCAGTCACCGGTGGAACAGAAAGAGGAGGATATGGCACGGGCCAGGCACCAGGCCCTGTTGGTGATGGTGTTGCCTGAGCACGGCCTGCCAACACTGCTAGGCTTTGTTGAATGTCCTGAAGGATGGTAGTTTGATGCTCTTGCATCTCAATTACGCCTGGCAGGGCCCTCCTAACTACCTTCACATCATCATCCATATGCGTCAGGTCCATCGTCTCTAACTCCTCTATGTCCGCCCCTCTCTGTTGCATCCTGGTTCTTCTTCTAATCATCATCTCTTTTTCCCTTTTTATCTGTCCTAATGCCCGCTGTAGTTGTGCCTCCTGCAGGGCTGCCTGCTGGATGGCGACACCACTAAGCCAGTGGAGTGACTCACGGTCTGTGCGATCGTGGACCCGACGGTACCTGAACTACCGGCTAGAGAAGTCTGTTGTGCAGGCGTGCTCATGGCTGTGGTAGCCATGGCTGCTGTAGCACCGGCCTCGCTAGCTAATGCCTTGCTGGCCTCGGCTGCTCTAGCTCTCCTCTGCTGCTGCCTCTCCCGCTGCCGGCGGAACAGTTCCCTATCACCCCCCGGTCCAAGGGACACGTGAGATATGGGGCCTCTAGCTCATCGCAAGATCCTGCGGTCGTCCTCTCCGGTGTCCTCACTGTCGCTCATAGGCTACAACCCTGTGCACCGCCTACACTAGATCATTCAATGATGCCTACCGCAGCATAGTGCACAGACCAACTATTTAGTGGTGGCTATTTTTGGAACAGATCTCATTTGGGGTCAACAGGTAAGTCAGATTCCTACCGTCAATACTATTTTTAGTAAGATTAATTCTCAAACAGAGGAAGCATCAGGAATAAACAATATTCTAAACTAATGCTGTCTGTCGGATGACACATGGCTGTCCATCTAACTAATCAAAACAAAAATAATGTTGACTGACTGGGTCTGTTCATAGTATGGAATTTAAACCCGAACTTATCACCTGAAACCTACCCCTCCCTTTGTTCTTCTCAATGTCACGGTGTCACGTCCCTAAGCATCTGAAGCCAAGCGTGTCTGAAGGTGTGCAATCCGGTCCCACCCCTGTGCCCCAGGTTATCGTCGAGCAAGGTAGCCACAACACTCTTATCTATCCTCATACGCCGACGAGCCTTCCACTCGGATGATCTGGCTGATCAAGAGGCAACCCAACGTCCGCCCCCAAGTGACTCCAGGAATTATTTTACGTCGCAGCCGGACGACGATCACAGCCAGATCAGAGTCGAGTCCCCAACCATAAATGTTTATAGACGGTCTGGTAAGTGTCTGTAGAGGCTGCCACACTCGAGTTAACCCCTATCATGCGCAAGCAGCAGAACCAAYGACTTGCAGCGAAGCATGCGTGTACTACACCCAGTGGGTTGGCATGGTGACCGTGACCCAGTGCTTCGTCTAGGGCCCTTCAAGAAGCTCCGCCCGTCTTCCCCCAGATGCTCCACGTGAACAATCACGACTCTCAAGGTTGAGCGCACACGACACCTCACGATGAGAGGACTATCAAGACAGAACTCACAACCTCACGGTAAGAAGCAATGGAGAGGGTAGATAAGGTTAAGAGCAACGTACCTCATTCAAGCTGCCCCCAACCATAGAGATAATCTCACCAGATGATCTGAAGATGATTGCGATGACCAGTCACAGCATCGGCACAACCAGCATTGTCTCGCCGTTCCACCTCAGCCTCAATCACCCAACAGATAGTTCTCAACACACTTCGAACACCCAATATTTACACGTAGCCTTCCAGGCGATGCCTGGGTCGCCAATACTTGTCACTTCCCCTCCTCACTACACACCAATCACAGCCCACTCACGTAGCAGACCGCACGTATGTACCGCATAAGGAAAGAGACAAGCGCCAGATGAGCGCACCGTACCACAGCTCCGATACCAAATTGCAAGGAAGATGAGCATTAGCGAACTCCAGCAATCAAACAGCATCATACATATGTGTCCAGATAGTCTCGACCTCGAACCAACAGCAGTCATGCATCACGAGATTCACCAAATCAGAACACACCAATAGTTCGTAATTGACAATGCTGAAATAGTCTCTCATCATCATCAACGAAGAACAAGAGTTGATATCCTATTGGCGCTCGGCGCCCAGACTACTTGTGGCAGATCCTATCTAGCCTAATASTACAATGCCGATGTTGACAACAACAGCTYCYTGAAGTACGAGCATACAGYGGACAATGCTGCACGYTTCCAGCACCAGGTATGTCTCTCGTAACACTCACAACCTCGATCCACACCGCACAGATGCCACTTGCACCCAAGGACCACCCTGCGTCACATCCAGCCTACAGCGGAGCAGCTCGGCTATGGCTGCCCGCTACCTCCCTGCTCRCCCGTGAGAGGGTGAGTGCCAGCCAGCCAGCAATGAGCGCAGCAGCGCTTGCGCAGCATGCAGCCAGCACCCGAATGTCCAATGAGGAGGCAGGCCCTTCCCTATATCGAAGTCGCCTGCCTGCGTCCAGTCCAGGAAGCTTCCGGTAGGCATCGGGTAGGCACAGGCCCAGTCACGAAGAGAGCAGGCCTTGGGCCTGAAGTGGTTGCATGCGCCCAACTGCTTTCGGCCTGTGTTTGGCCCGGTACCCGTATCCAGCCCAGGACCTGCTTCACATTCATTTACACAGGCGGCCCAGGGCCTGGATTCATTCAGCCAACTGGCGCAACGCAACTGCCTGAATTTCCCCGATGCGGGGTACCCTCTGAATGAGGCCCGAAGCGCCTGTCGTGCCTGCCTTCACTTAGGGCGGCTGACCTTGTTGCAGATAGGGCCCCGTAGGGGCTAAGCGGGCGTAGCCTCGCACATACTCAACGACAAGCAGAATCTATTGGCGGCCCTAATGAAAACGCGGTAGGCGGTTTCCTTACAAGCTGTGGCACGAAGGGAAACGCCAGCAAAATATAACCACAATAGAAAATCGATACAACGAGCAATAAGGAAACCGAAACACGTACGACTATGGCTATCACATTTTGCGGAGCACGCGACATTCTGGCAGGGGCTACAGTCGTGCCCAGGAAGAAAAAGAAAGATGCTGCTTGCTCCACCATTGACCCACCGCATATTCATCATGGTACAGCTGGCATTGCAGCCAGAGTTGCAGCTTCAATATTCCTCTAGCAATATTCTGCAGTTTCTCCTTTGGACAAGACGCTCCTCCGTTCGAATGCTACCGCCAACAGGTAAGTGTTTCTCTTGCTCGACCAGCTTGCCGCTACTTTTTCAGGTAAGCACTGGTCAATCTTCCGTTGGAAAGACGGAAGGATATTCAGGTAAGTTCCTAGCCCTGCGGCCTACCTCGCGCTGCCCCGTCAGTCGTATTAGCAAAGCCAGATGAATCTTCCGCTAGAACACGGAAAGATACATCGCCTATTCAACCATCTTCAACCAGCGCAATCCGTAACCCGTATGGCGCTGGAACCGCGATCTCCACACAGAATCCGAGCTTGCCATCGAACTCCCCATGTCTCGGAACCCCTAGCACTGCTCCTCGCACGCTTTCCCAAAGAGAAAGGGCGTGCTTTGCTACTCCCGTCTCGCCATAATCGTCCGCGCGGCGCTTTTTCTTCCCAACATATTAACCACTACCTTATCACTAAGGCTAGGCTCACGATCGAATTCGCCACTCTTCAGAACCCCCACTCCGACTCTCCCCTCACCCGATTCCACCCACAATCGAGCAAGCTATGCCATTCCCTCCTTCTCTTATTTCCTTTATCCTCCATATCCCCAGGCATTGCTTTTCGATCTGCCTCACTCCCTACTAACTATCACGCTAATCCGACCACAGATTCTGATTCACCGGGGGTATAAGCCCCAGAATCGGTTCTTTCCCCGCCCGATTCAGTCGAGAGTCGCGCGGGCTGCCCTCTTCCCGCTGCTCCTCCTCCGCCTCCCCGCCATCTCCAGCTTCCTTCTTCCCCGCGCGCACCTGTCCTAACTCTCCACCCGGGTTCACCCTCCTTCTTTTGCACCACTCCTAGCGCTGCGCCCTGGATGTTCGTGTTGCCTCCACTCCCGTGCGCTTCCCCGCACACCACGCCGTGCTCTTCGTGCCTCTCCCCGCACACACTACCGTGCGCTACGAGCATTCCAACGCGCGCTATCCTCGCCTCCCCGCTAGCGCCTCGATAGGACACAGCCCCATGCCCCTCCCTTCTTCCCCGGTGAGTATCCTTCCCACTCCTTCACACTCCTCCCTTCCCCCGTGCGCTCCTCCGTGCGCCACCGTGCACTACTCCCCCGTGCACCCGGTCCCTCGCTGCTCCCTGTGCGCTATCCCTGGTGCGACCGAGCGCTTGTTTCTTCCGTGCTCTGCTCCCGCGTGCGCTCCGAACTCCCCCCCCCCGTGCGCTTGTACGTCCGCTCCTCTTGCCTCCCCAGGCAAGCCTCCCCCTTCGTGCGCTCCTCCTCCTCTGGTACGAGCGCTCCGACGGGCGCTGTACGTGCACTCCCTTCGCCTCTTCAGGCAAAACGGTCCCCCCTTGTCGCCTCCTCTCCTCCCTTTATCTCCCCCAGCTCGGCTCCGACCAGGTACTGGTCCTTGTCGGCTGCAGCTGCTGTTCCCGCTTCTTCTCGCATCAAGACTCCGAGAGGCAGTTATCAAGAACTGTCTCCCGTGTGTGCACACCCCCTTTCCCGCCAGCAGCGCTCTGCTCCTCCTGGTCTACTTCTCCTGCACCCGGCCACTTCTCTAGGCTAGGTACATCCCTCTACTCGCTTTTACAGTGAGTCCACACCTTTCTTTCACATAGCCGCCCGCACCTCAACGGTCAGATCCCTCCTCAGGCCCAGCACCAGTCTTCCTTTTGCACACGTACTTTCCCAAACGCGTGCGACCGTATCGAGGGCTAAGACGGGATGAATCCGGTCGTAATCAAGTCCAGATCTCAGCCGAAAAAGTCTTGGTGGGAGCATGTGGCGGGTCAGGTTGTCTGGTCCTGCTCTGCCGCCCCTTGTGCCCCTTTCTTCTGCACCCGCTTGCTCCCTCCGCTCAGTACTCTCCCGTCATTCCCCCTCGCTGCAGTTCCTCTTTGTTTGTCCGCTCGTTTGATCACGACTAGATCCCTATCCCACGTCTTTCGTTGCTCCGTGTTCCTCAGTCCGGGCCTAAGGGGCTAAGCTACCCACTAGGGTTCGCAAGCCTGCAAATGCTGCCATCAAAGGGACCCGCCCCATTCGTCCCTTTTAAGGTGGCGTGTCGCGTTCGCTACCGGCCCACGCACACCACCACCCCCCCCGACATACATGCATTTCCATTTTCGAGCTTACACGCACTCGTGCACATTTACTCACGTACGCACACCAAAGCCGCACGGTTGGTCTGGCTCTTATGCACGCCTGCGCGTACCGCACTGGCGTCCCCTTTATCCGAAGTCTCTCACGCACACACGCGAACATGAAGACACAGTGGCTGCACCAATTTCACCCTACTTGTATAGCCTCTCGTCAACACCACACGACCAACCGCTGATGCATCGCTCAAGACCCCAAAGACCGCTTCGATTGCATGTCGCGTGCTGCGGCTCTGACAACCATCCAGAAGCCCCGAGTCGCAAGAGCCGGCACCCAATAATTGTAGCAGAGACTTGTGGTAGAAGTAGTCGTCGCCGACGTCCGCTGACGGAACCTCCCACCGTCGTTATTTGACCCTCAACCTCACACGTCGTCACCCGCCATCGTCGCTTCGCTACAAACCCCAATGGGTGGGAAATCGGGTATCCCCAAGCCCCCTCTTCTCGCCGCCTCTACACCCTTCCCCCATACCTCACGCAGACTCCCCGCACACGCCCGGGAAATTTCAATCCAACCCAGACCCCCCAAGCATAAGTAGGAAAACCCCAAAACAAGTGAAAACAACCAGTCACATACACACAAACAAGCACAAAATTCGAAAAATTCGGAAAGAAAAAAGGCCCGGCTGGTAGGCAGCCGCCCGACACCGGTACCTCCTCCCTTTCGGGGGAAACATCATTGCAGGCTCTGCTAACCTCCGGACAGGCCCTAGACCCGGGCTACTTGGACTGGTACCGGCCTACCTCTAGCCTACCGCTACTGGGCCTCTAAAAATGCCACTTTTTGTCTTCTTCTGCTCGGCCTCCAGTACCCGACACTTCTACCACTACTTCGGTGGTACCGGCCTACCTGCTACTCGAGTGTTTTCCCCCCTGCAACCCTTCACAGTCACGGCCACAGGTAAGTACCGGCCCTGCGGGGCCTTTCAACCAACAAATACCCTTGCGGGTCACACACACACTCAGCCGACAAGCACTCAGACAGGCATGCAAACCAGCAGGCACGCACACACACACAGACTTGGAAACCACAGCAGAATGCGGGAATCTCAGCAAGGCATTCATTCCAGCGGCAAATCCAAGAAATCAGCGGGTCATTACACGTGTAGTAAGTTGAACCCCTCCTGAGGGTCACATTGTCCGCCAAATGAACATTGCAGTTAACTAGGATTACTTCATGCCACGGAGAAGTGCAGACATGCTTGTCTTCTGGCCTGAATTACTGAATGTCGAAGTCTAAGTGTTCTGTCTGAAGACATCAGTAACCTTACCTGTTCAGCCCAGGCCACAGGATGGGCGGGGGAAACACGACGTTTAAAATTTTAAGCAGGCGATTGGGGGGCAGGAGTGCCTACTTTCACATGAGGCTAGCTATGGAAGACTTACAGATTGTCCGCCAGTTGAGCTCTGGGCCAACTCAGAGGTATATCATCATCATCATCATCATCATCATCATCATCGTCATCATCATCTTCATGAACAACATCATCGTCATCGTCGTCCTCCTCCCCCTCATCATCATCATCGTCATTATCCACATCATCATCATCGTTGTCTTCTTCTTCTTCTTCTTCTTCTTCTTCTTCTTCTTCTTCTTCTTCTTCTTCTTCTTCTTCTCCTTCTCAGGTCACATTGTCCGCCAAATGAACATTGCAGTTAACTAGGAGTTACTTCATGCCACGGAGAAGTGCAGACATGCTTGTCTTCTGGCCTGAATTACTGAATGTCGAAGTCTAAGTGTTCTGTCTGAAGACATCAATAACCTTACCTGTTCAGCCCAGGGCACAGAGGTATATCATCATCATCATCATCATCATCATCATCATCATCATCATCATCATCATCATCATCGTCATCATCATCTTCATGAACAACATCATCGTCATCATCGTCCTCCTCCCCCTCATCATCATCATCGTCATCATCCACATCATCATCATCGTTGTCTTCTTCTTCTTCTTCTTCTTCTTCTTCTTCTTCTTCTTCTTCTTCTTCTTCTTCTTCTTCTTCTTCTTCTTTCTTCTTCGTCTTCTTCTTCTTCTCCTTCTCCTTCTCTTCTTCTTCTTCTTCTTCTTCTTCTTCTTCTTCTTCTTCTTCTTCTTCTTCTTCTTCTTCTTCTTCTTCTTCTTCTTCTTCTGCTGCTGCTGCTGCTGCTGCTGCTGCTGCTTCTGCTTCTTCTTCTTCCTTCTTCTTCTTCTTCTTCTTCTTCTTCTTCTTCTTCTTCTTCTAGAACACACTGGCTATGGCTGCGCCCAGACTCTCTCCTTCAGCTGCCAAGATTGGCGCTGTTCCTTCTTCTCGTCGCGCCACAAAAATCCCGAACTGAAAGTCTGAAACTGAATGAATGCTACTCTAGCTCGTAGCTTTTGTTGTGCCAAGTTTTTGTAGGCCTACTGGGTCCTACAGGGATCTACCCTAGAGAGTTGTTGTGGCATACACTGTACCACACGGGACCTGCCGGGTCGGACCAGGTAGGCATAGGGGCTAGTAGGGGTTACCAGTAGTCTGGGATAGCCGTTTCGACCTGGGGCCCGTAAGTTCGGGGTAGGACCCAGCGCCATTCAGGCCCAGTTAGGCCCAGTTTCGCGCAGACCCTGTTTAGGGTCTGGAGCAGTTTAGGCGCCAAGACCGTTGGTGCCACAGGTTTGAGTTTGGCGCCCATTCGGTAGAGGCCCTGGCCCGATGGTCGTGCTCCAGGCTGTCCCGGCGCTATTTGTAGCTGGACTGCCCGTAGACGGACAGGCATTCGCACAGGTATCATAGCGGTAGTCGACGATAGTGGTAGGGAAATATGGCTTCAGCGCTAGCACAGCGCAGCTGCAGTACACCGCAGCAGAGGAGAGAGAGAGAGAGAGAGAGAGAGAGAGAGAGAGAGAGAGAGAGAGAGAGAGAGA